ATAATATAATATACTATAATATAATTAATATAAATAAATAAAAATATATATATGTGTGTGTGTATATATATATACACATAGATAGATATTGTTAGTACTATTGATATTAGCTTGAGCATTATTCAATTCCTCTAATATTAGTATCATTACTAACTTCACTTCGCTTCCCTTCGCTTCGCCGAGGAGTTGGGGAACTTCTTGTTTTTTGCCCGCCTTTTGGGGGCAGCCGGCCAAGAAGTTCCATGCAGCCTTTCGTCGGTGCCAAACGTTTACGACCGTCCTGCGCACCTCGGCTGGATGGCCCCTGTCCGGCCTTTGCAGAATCGCTACATGCACATGTTGGGTTTATAGAAGCGGAGAACCGAATCAACGTCAACCATTCAACAGGTCGAAATCTTCCGGATGCTCACTTTAGGATATTAGTTTTTGCGCCCATGGCTAGTTTTCGGGCATTTCGGCTTCGACTTTGCGTTTGTTCTCATTTCGAAATTCTCGTTCCTTTTCTCTTTTAGGATTGGCTGGCTTTCCGAATTGGTGTGTTTTCTGCACCTAAGCTTTTGGGTATTTTGCGCTGTCATTTCGTGTTTTTTCTGCGCTTCTCGATGTCTTCAAGTTTTCATGCAGAACCAACCTCGACCTCGGCTTCGACCGTGCTGCATGAATTTTGAAAGCATGTCGGGTTTCACCCAAGTAATAAGTAAGTACCCAAAACATATAGGCATGCATATTTGGCTGAGTTTCACTCAGTTATGTGATCAGTTTGGGTTGAACCAACGAACACAAATGTAGCCAAGACGCAGGCATGAGATTTTGGGTGTATTTTCGTACCAGGCGAACTCCCCACAAGCGCTCTTTCAGTGATTTTTGACCAAGCTTGTTGAGCTTCTGCGGAGCTGTTGGTTTATTTTATGTTTCCGACGATATTCGACAATTAACTTTTGTTTCACTTTTTGACATTTTTCAGTTCCGGTGGGGTTTTCTGGCTTTTCGAGCCAAATCTTTGTCCAGCTTCGGGTGCCGCATGGCATTCTCCACTTCTCCGCGACGGCAGCCAGGGTCGCAAAGGCGGAAATGCGGAGTTTCAGGGAGATAGGGTCCAGGGTCTTGGTGCTCAGGGTTTTTGGGGTTTAGGGTTCCTGGTGCGAGGGATTTGGCCGGGCGAGCTCAGTTCAAGCCTGTGGAAAAAGGGTTCCTGGTGCTTGCATCAGGTCAGAAGTGTCCGGAGGCAAGTGCAGCGACTATGAGGTAAAGACCGTTCGATGCAATGTATCCGAGCTGATACCTTCCCCAGCCACTGGGCTGGACAGCTTCGACACGACTTCCGAGCAGAACCATGCAGAACCGGACCTCTCATGTCTGACATGCTAAAGTTACCAAAGCCTTGTGTTGAATGAACTGACCAGAGGGTTTGCACACATGGTTGCTGGAGTGGAAGGTCGTCGACAGCTTGTACACAATCGAGCTCATCGGCAAAGAACCCGGTCGGTTCACAAGCACGATTGGGCAGGCGGAACCGGTCGAAACACTGCAGCGGAAAAAGCAGCCATGAGTCAGTCTTGGCGACGAGGCTGTGATACAAGTCCTCACAGAACATGTTTGGGACCTGACTGAACCTGCTTCCTCTCCCCGGCATTGCGGTATGGGAGCAGAGCCTTTCTCGCGATTGGGCGTCTTGTAAGCTTTGCTGCACAGCCTTGCCGCTTTAGGATTTCGATTGTCAACATCGACATCGACAGATGTTCTGTGAAGAGCTTCAAGGACATTGCATGGCTTGGCGAGTTTCGAGCCCTGTACTCGTAGCGGTGTGCAACAAAAGCTGCAGGACAGTCCATGGATGACGAGTACAGGGCATGCAGGGCTCATCACCGTCTCGCCAGGGCATCTGAAGCGACGGCGCGGCTTGAAAGCAAAGGTCACGAGAGGCTCGAGCGAAGCTTCCTTCTTTGCTAAGGCCGTGCTGGGTGATGCAGCCGAACTTGGGCATCGAGAAAGCCTTCACCTTCACCGACATGTGCCTCAACTGACACCTTCAAATCAATCTGGGCTTTTCAGCCCAACGAAGTTGGACTTGCGCTCGCCCACGTACTGGCCCAAGGCAGTGGCCTCGGCAAGACGGATCAGTGCATCCTGTGACGGCCGACGCCCCCTTTCGCTGCATGATGGCTGGATCCGGATGCTCAGCAGCGGTAGCTAGCTATCGGTGCACAGGTGCTCAGCAGTTTGCTTGCGGTCTTGGTGGGAATGTGTGGAGAAAGCGAGGCGAGCTCTCCATCCAGCATATGGCTGCTACTTCTTCGAACACCACGTCACTCGATTGGACGCCTATACTGAGTCGCCATGCTGTTTTTATAGCTGTTGCAGCTGAGGCCAGCGGCTGCCATGCTGGAGACTTTAGACGAGGCTGAGCTCACATTTCGGCATCACAAGGACAGGCCCTTTCACGAGCAGGCGCAGCCACAGCGCCAGAGGGCGTGCCCTTCGAAGGACCCCTTTGTCGTGGCTTCGCAGCTCACGTCTTCAACTTTCGACATGGTGTTGTCTGAAGCCATCAAGCTGCACAGAATCTCCAGTGGCACAGTGCAGACAATCTTTGTGAGCACCTGAGCTAAGGGCTACTTGAAGGTGTCACCTGGCTTGGAGGTTTGGAGTGTTCCGCAGCTCCGAGAGAACCAAGAAAGTTCGGGTCCACCACGAGTCCAAGGTCGACCGTTCTCTTCTTCATGTGGGCCATCATTCTCAATTGCTGCTGTTGCGGCAATAGCTGCAAAGCATGCGATGCAGCTACTGCTCTCGATGCGGGTGACGAAGTGACTGCCGCCGCAGATGTCATTCCTTCCGAAGCGGCCGATCCCGCTTGCTGTGACAGGGACTCGAAGCCCGCAGAGGAAGACACCCCTCCCGAATCAGCGTGACAAGGTGACCAAGTCACTGGAATTTAAGATCCCAGAGCTCGGTCTACCCAAGGCAGGCCGGGCTCAGCGGTTGGACTGCCATGGCAGCAAGATCATGCATTGATTGGCCCCTCCCCAGCGATACCCGTGAGTTCACTTGAATGCCGGGACAGGAGGGTAGTCTGCGGTTGAGTGCGATCCTCGGAGAGCTTTGCACTCTACATGCCCGGACTCGAGCGGTAGCCTCCGAGACAGTGACACACACAAAGATCATGGCACGTGCGAAGCATCGAAACATCCACCCACAAGGAGCACATCGGCAGCCCGATTTTCGCAGGTATATATGCTCGCCCGCTGGATTTACATGCAGTATGTATCCAAGTAGTTGGAAGCAGTGGCATGAATGATAGCACACGACAACGACTTCTGTACATGGTTTGCGTTTCAGGCTGTGTGGCATAGTGGTGACATGCCCGATAGTGTCGCCATGGTGTAGTCAGTGTAGTAATGCAATGTGATGCATTTTCGAGGATCATCTGCTACACTTTGCTCTCGCAGTGACGCAGTGCTGTTCTCCGATGCAGTTTCCCGCCATGCTCCTATGCAGATATATAGTGATGTATGTGTATGTATGTATGTATGTATGTATGTATGTATATATATATGTATGTATGCCTCCCCTGCATCCCCCCTCCGAGACCTACCTCGCAGCCTACTCTTACTGTATACTTTCTAGACTACGTACGACTCCACTCCGAACAAAAGTTTTGTGTCCCGCCGCCGTTCAAACCAAGATAAAGATGCTAAGTATTGCCTAGTATTCCCTGTTTACGACGACACAACAGCGTTCGAATCAAGATACAGATGCCAAGTATTGCTTGGTATTCCCTGTCTACGATGACCCAACACCGTTCAAGCCAGGATAAAGATGCTAAGTATTGCCTAGTAACTAGTATTCCCCGTCTACGCCGACAACACCGTTCGAACCAAGATAAAGATACTAAGTATTGCACATCATTTCTCACACTGATGCCGCTCGCAGTTCTACTGACAGGGTATTCTATACGTTCTAAATGTAATCCTAAAGGTAGTGTAGAGGATGGATACAGAGGTATATTACATAGGCGTTCTTCTGTAAGGTATTCTACTGCAGGGTATCCCAGATGGTATTCTATAGACTGTATCAGGTATTCTATAGGGTACTCCATAAAGTATTGTACTAAAGGCATTCTGTCGTCATATTTAGGAAGCTTTACGAAGGGCTTACAGGCACGGGACCATGGCGAATTTCGGCGGACGAACGTTTTCACTGCACGACAAAGAACTGTACGTGTACGTCTAGGGACTCGAGCTAAAGCTTTACAGAGCTCTGACCTAGGCACACAGGTGTTCTGTCCTAGACAGTTCGTGAACCATGCTTGAGCATCAGCTCTTGCACGTAACCACATCTTCAACACTCCTCCTTGAGCTCCTCCTTCGGATCGAGCTCACCTTTACATAAATGCTGAAGGTAAGGTATCGTAGTGCGACCATTGCTCCACAATGGCCAGAAAAACATGCAGGCAGCTTACCAGATCGATCCATAGCAGAGCTTCAGATCCTTTGAAGGTGCGTCTTCGTTCGAGGATGCTGCCTCCTTTCTTTGCGACTTTTGCGGGATTAATCGCAACCCCTTGCTCCTTTCTCCCAGACAAAGCATCAGCATTCACCGCGTAATCGTTCTCAAAGGAACACGATTTTCGCAGTAGCTGCAATACTCTGTCATGAACACCATTCCAGCATTCCTCAGTCCATGGCAGTCCCTACTGGTGTGAACCTTTGATCGATGGTCCGTCGTCTTCCAGAACTGCGTGACCGGGATATCTGGAGGAACTGGTGCGGGCACGTCCCTGTAAACTGTACGCACCTCTACTCTTGCTTCTGGCATCGGCGGGGTTTGGGTAGCAGCATTCCTTGTAGTGGTAGCCGAGCTTGTAAGTTCATTGCCTCTTGAGGGTCGCCTCAAGCTTTCCGCCTCGGCTTCCAGCTCCCTACGGAGCTGTTGCTTATCAAGCTCCTCCTCAGCTGCGCTCCTCGCGACCTCACGTAGTCGGCGCAGGCGCCTCTCCTTTGGAGTTTCATCATGCCAACCACAAAGCCACCTCCCCAGCTTCTTTCCTAGCTCCCACAGGCCAACTGCAGCAATACACACCACAATCGTAGCAAGCAGTAGCTCATTGAAACCCGCCAGCGGAATGTCCTGCGAAGCCCGCACCG